AGAGTAGTTAAATGATGAATATAATTTAGCGCATGTTTTTCATTGTTATGCCATTGTTAGCTTTCGGTAGCTCACAAAAAGTGATGTATTGGATAGATTTATATATAATATATCAAATGAGACCAGAGGTTAATTTATGTATATGATTTGCATTAACTCAATTCAAAATCAAATTATGGAAATAATGTTATAAACATTACAATACTAAATAAATTTGTGCATAATGAAAATGATTCAATGTAGCAGAAATAACTTGTTTGACTGTACTAGGCATTAACAGTTTGGGTAATTATAATGGTGATAAGAATGTGAATATGAATTATTTATAGAATACATTGATGTTCTCTTTGTAGCTAATTCTGTGTTGATTGCATGATCATGAATCAGAAAGTAGACTACCGTGCTATATTTAGTCAATATAATTCCTTCAACAATATACTAAGAAAATTACAGCCATAAACCATAGTTTATGTAAATATGACTCAAAGAGAGAGAGCGAGCGAGCACGGTCGCAGCTTTCCAGAGTGACGTCATCAAACCTACACCCAGGCCTTCTCTTCTAGGTGGCCTCCTTGGTACTGCACCCTCAGTTCGAGACATCCTTGGCACTTCACGCTTGGAGTTTCTCAAAAGATTTTAAATAGATTGTTGGGTAATTCCAATACAGTTATACCAAGTGATAGCAGGTCATAGGCCCCAAACTTCTATGCAATATGAGAAAGCTTGCAGCCTTTTTCAACTGCTCCAGACACATTGTAGGAGACAGTGGTAGAATTTTTAGATTTTCTGTTCAGAGTTAAAGGCCTTCACTAATCTACAATTGCATCTTATAAATCAGCATTGGTCGACCCTCTGGCATGGGGTTTTAACATTTCATTGAACCCCGGAATTTATCAAATGCTCAGATCTTCCTTTTTCATTCAGAGACCCCTTTGGCCTAAGAGAATCCCACCTTGGTCACTAGATAAAGTTACTAACTTTCTTAATATGGGGCCTAACTACAATATAAATCCAACCCGGGACAGATTGCTCCAGAAGGCAGCCTTCCTTCTAGCAATAGCAACAGGTATGAGAATCAGTGAGTTTATTTCAATTTCCAATAATCCATCATTATTGGTATTTTCTGAGGAAGGTGTCACCCTTTTTCCTACGGAGATTCTAAAAAAAATGAAAGGGAGGATTTTCAAGCTCATCTCTCAGGATAAAACGGCTAATGGATGAGACAAGGGTTCTTTATATGTTGTGCCCAGTTAAGAACCTTCAAGTGGTTAACCAGATTCCCTAATCAAGGTCCCTATGTATTCTCATCACAGGATAGTTAGAAATTGTCTCTGAGTCAAATGTCAAAATATTTATCTCAGCTGGTGTGTCAAGCAGACCCTGGCAAGAAATTTTTGGCACATGACACCAGGAAATATGCAGCGTCTTTGGCCTTCCTGCAGCATATGAGCCTCAGTTAGACCAAAGAAGTAGGCTTTTGGAAATCTTCAAAACCTTTCAAAACAGCTATCTTCATCTATTTCTGAAAGATGCTTCACATGTGGTGGCATTGGGGTCCCCTCATCCACCTCTTCCATCTCCACAGCCAGGACCTTCTTCCTCATCAGAATAAAGTGCAAATCCTGACATGGGATATGTAGCTTATAATTTTACCACCTTCGGTAAATGTTTTCAATTAAGGAAAATATTCCAAACAGGTTTATAATTATTTTCTGGACCTAAGCTAGCAGAGCCTTATACACAATATCACCTCCCTCTCCATCTCCTTCTCGGGTAATCAAAGCTAGACGTTGCATTCTGGATTGAACAAAAAGCCATTTTTTTCTAAAAACCAGTTTTTGTGATATAGTCCAGAATGCGACGTCTACATCCCACCCATCTCCACCCCTCGAGAGTTGACATTTGTTTACTGCTCACTCTAGGGCAAGAGATGACAGCAGTAATGCATGTGCTTGTGGGTGTGGGAGGGGGTTTTGAGAATTGCAATTAAATGCCAGGTAGCGACGTGTCCTTCTAATATTATGTATTTTAGTAATTATTAGATGTTTTATTGCCTTTATGTTGGCCTGGCAAGTTCATGCAGGTACAGTAGAAGTCCAAAAATCCGGACTGCTTGGGGATTGGGTCGGTCCGGATTTTCGGATTTTCCGGATTCTCAGGCAGTACTTTTAAAATTCAAATTTAAGGAGGAATAAAGAAGAGATGAACAGGTACAGCAATATCTAACTGTCTAATACCATGACGAGTCTTGAAATTCCTAAGCCATCCATCACTAAATGAGCACTCTGATTCAATGTTCATTTGCTACTTAAAAGACTTTGCTTTGGCACAAGCATCGGCCCAGAAATTGCCATACCTTCTGATCGTTTTAACAAAAACCATTCGTGCAACACTTTATCAAGAATTTCTAATTTTATCCAATGTAAACTTTTTCTTTCAGCAATTTGATTGTAAAGCCCGCCCAGAAGAAGCTGTGAAATCTAGAATTTTATTCTTTGCCTTTTTTATATCATAAATTGTAGACTTTCCAATGTCGTATGTCTCCATTAAAACAGTATTGCCCACACCACGTTCTAGTTTCTTAATTATTTCAAGTTTGTCACTCAATTTCAACGTGTTCTTCTTTCTCTTCACACAACGAAGTTTATCTACTTTAGGAGCCATTATTATGGGCTTGTACTCTGTAAATGGAAAGAGTAGGACTCAAAATTACATACATTGTCACAGTTTGATTGCTCGTTTTCAAGTGGCGACCGCGTGGTCGCTTGTTGTCGCTGAGCAGCTGTGGCACTCACGCATGCACAAATACACACAAAAGCCTGCTAAATTAAAAAAGTTTGAGAGTTTTCGAAAAGTCCGGATTCTCAGGTGGTCCGGATTTCTGGCATCCGGATTTTTGGACTTTTACTGTACAAAGCTAGATGCCGCATTCTGGCCTTTATCACAAAAAATGGTCTTTAGAAAAAAAAATTCCATTTTGTATAAATTTATTGTTTGTATATCTTTACTTTGCATAAATTTACTTATTTTGTGTTTACAGTTATGTGCCGGTTAACGTCCATCCGAACAACGTCCGATCGCATATACGTCCGTGTCCCCCGCCCAAAAAAAAACACTTCCGTGACGCCTGCTGGACCACCACTCCACGACACCCTGACGGAGACACGATGATCCTCCCCATACTGGCCAGATATTATGTGTTAAAGGAATATCCTTCCTTCCTTAGGCATTTGCCTCCAGGTGTAATGTTAACCTACATCTATTGAGGATAAAATCTTTCACCTACAAATTGACAATAACACATTTGCTGTAATCAGACATATCTAGTTGTGTCAACAATTGAAACCCCAGTTGCATTTGGGGTTGCAATTTCAAATTCTGTGTCATTACTAAGGAATAACAAAGTCTCTGGTGCACTGCACTCTAAGATTAAGAGAAAACGGACGACTCAGGCGTCCTGAAGTGAGAGAAAACGGACTCCTATGACGGGGCACTCAAATAAAGAGACATGGCTACATGTTTTGTGGACTACCCACTGTACAGTATTGATCGTATCATTTTCATCACTTTGTAATAAACCTAGTCATGTCTTTGTGTGTTTCTCATAATTACCATAACATTATATATTTAGTGGGTCTGAATGAAAGGATTCACACATGCCACTCAGACTGACAGACTTGACAGTTGAAGCTTTAAACGTCACTCACAATGTATCTTGAATATTCCAACTGTAATCAGACATATCTAAGTTGCCTGATGGGGCACTCAAAAAAAGAGACATGGCTACATGTTTTGTGGACTACCCACTGTACAGTATTGATCGTACCATTTTCATCACTTTGTAATAAACCTAGCCATGCCTATGTGTGTTTATGATATTTACCATAACATTATATATATATTTAGTGGGTCTAAATGGTCGTAAAATGGGAAACTTGGGGTTGGGTGCCTGGAACCAATTAGAATAAATCCCATAGGTTTATGTAATTTCGGACAACGTCCATTTCGGTTAACATCACGTTTCCAAGAACGTATCTAGGTCGTTAACCGGCGCATGACTGTATTTATTTACCATTTGAGTTATTTAGACATTATTTAATCTTTATAGCAGCAGGATATAAACCTTATCTGGGCTCTTCATGATCTCATGAAAAGAATCAATTTTTCCCCAAAAGTTATTAATATCGATACAAGATTGATCACTTAATGATTCCTGTACAGTATATACGGGTATTATTTTATGTCAAGAGAATAGCTTCTTCCACGCACAAACTATCCTCTGGGCGAGTGACACAATTGAAATGCTCAGCATGAGAGTCATTTGGGACAGGCAGAGCCTACCATGCATCCCACATGGGTCGCACAAGTTACGCCATTTTGAGATTGCATCATCATATCACGGAATATTGCTTTATTGCAAATCACATTTTCATAGCAGTGACAATATGGGAAAAGCACTTGGGTAATGACCATCATAAAACTGATCTTAGCCATCGCATAGCAGTAAATGGTGTTAATTTTTTTAACATCATAAAACTGACCGACCATGTAGAGATCCATCGTGTAACGGTCAACACCTGTATTAAATCTTGTTTCTATCATTCATACCAGTGTTCATCCTTGCTGAACCACCTTTCCACCTTGTTTCTTGCACATTGCAGACATCGGGCTTTCATAACTCAATATCTTATCAATCTACTTACAGTCAGACTAACAGCTCCTGAACCCAACTATGTCAGGTTCCTTCATTTTGATTACATGCAGTTTCTTGTGTCTTTCTGCGTGTAATCAAAATAAGAGAACTTGACCTGTGTATACATCTCAAATGCTTATGATCGAAATGGCACTACTTAAACCCCTAGTAACATTAAAATAAGCTTGATGATTGACTGTACATAGGTAAACAAACTTTGTTTGGATCTTTGGATCAAAATTCAAACTTTACTTTCAGTACAATCTCATACTAAACATATATAAATACATAAAAATTACAAACTCACTCATTAAAGGCAGTGCTGGGCGATGTCCATCCAAGGCGCGCTGAAGCTGTGGCTCTCATTCCTCCTCGTCGGAAATCTCCTTCGCCCAAATCACTGTCAAGATGGCCTGAACTACTACGCCGTAACCTGTTTAGAGGCAACAGCATGGAAAACATTTAATCATGCAAACTTTAAAACCATATCACTGAGTACAAATCTTGACAATGAGTGAAGATACTGGTAAAAGTGAATGACTTTATGCTTAAAATTAACTATGAATACTGTACAGGTAAAAGAAATCAAAGACCACTAATTGCAACCTTATGCAACATGCCCCCCCACCCCACCCCCTTCTGACTCACATCATTATAATATGTCAATGAACCTAAAATGGAAGATTGATCTTGAACTATATTTTCTTGTAAAAGTCATTAGCTGCACAACACTCTGTAATAGTGGGCAACTTTGTGGGGTTCCTGTAGCTGGGCCACCTGGGTCTGTCAGGATTGGTTCATTCATTATTATCTTACCAATCACCCTTCCTGAACAGCCCATCTCATATGAGGGGTACTTATGAAGAGATTGGCCTTTTCCTGTAAGTGGGGGAGGGGAGAAGACTGCAAGTCTCCTTTGAGTCAGTCTCTAACTACTCACCAACAACCACACTGATCCCACCCTCCTTACAGTTGTCCAAATTTGGATTTCATCTCCGAAAGCACAGTGGGGTCTCATTTTTGTGTGGGTATATCGTATTGGCACACGTCTGTGCATCGGAAATCCATGCAAGCTATGCCTTTTACATGTGTTAGAATCACTACATTGTACTGGACTCACCAGACCTTTACTCTAGAATGAGACTGGGTAAGTAACTTAATCTTCCCAAAAAGACACATAATGTCACATAAACTGCTTCTACATTATTAAATACAAGGTCAGCTCTAGCTTCTTAAGTGCCCTGTGCAAGATAATGGTAGGGGGCCCCCATTCCTAAGACAACCTTCCTATGGCTTCACTTTCATTGTTCCCAGTCCCTCACCCACAACCATTACCACTATACCATGCAATAATAATGATTGATTTCTAAGTAAATATATCTAGGTGTATTTTCTTTATTGGTAAGTCAACCTCAATTTCATATCATATTTCATTTCCAAACATTTAAATGTTTTCTATGGAAACCAACAACCTGTATTTCATACAGGAGCTCTCATGGCAAGAATTCGCTCCATGCCACCGCCTGCCAAATTCAAAACAGCTCAGCCACTCTTCCCCCGATCATCGAATCTGCGGAGTATCAACGAAACTTGCGGAGTATTTCCCTTCTATGTTATCGTTGGTTATGCAAATCGGAGGTTAATGAGTCATCGGTTTTCGGGGTATACCTGTCCCCCAAAACCGACGACCTATTAACTGTCACTTCGCATAACTAACGATTGCATATTGGGGAAATACCCCACAAGTTTCATTGATATACCATTGATCCGATGATTGTGGGAGGAGAGGCAGAGCTCTTTTGATTTTGGCAGGCGGTAGCATGGAGCAAATTCTTGCCACGAGAGGGCTCTACCCATCGCCTCCGACTCATCCCATCTTGTCTTCACTAGCTTATACTCATCATATGTCTCCGGCTTCATGTTTTTCGTTCTTACGCAATCATGCCTAAATGCCCCAATGATAGTTCCTCTTGAGATGCCCCTAAGAGGGACAGCTTGATGTGAGGTGTTAAGGCATAACAAGAGTGGTGACGGACCCGCAAAGAGTGGTAGAGACTTGAACTTGCTACCCTAGAATGTCGCTACTATCCTCAACACAGGTAAATAAGTCTCAATTTATGCTTTACATTCCTTATTTAATGCTTATTATGCTTTGTTTATTTGTCTGCTTTATTTCCTTGCATGACAGTGCACATAACAGAGATATATCAAGTGTAGGTGGGAGCTTCTGGAGGATGGTAGGTCCCTAACCTTCCGAATTTGTCATTTTTTATGGGATTAATTGCCTTGATAAGCGTTGATCACAGTTCTCATATGCTTCGGTTAACAGGGTATATCTGTAAGTATATTTGTGAGCTACTTTAGAGCTGTACAATGTTTTTTTAATTTTGGTTTGGTTTGGAGGGGGGGGGGGTGGTCCACATGATGCATCCCCTATCTCCCCTTGTTGTAATGGGCTCACTCTACACTAATTCGCTCTACACATATTGGTGAGAGTTAAGCGCATTACCGCCGTAAGAACTAATACATAATAAAAACACTGTATGCTTGACTTATTCACTTTCTTTGGCTTACTTAGTGTAGTTCTGCAGCTTTTACCACTTTCAAAACTTCTTAGTATCTCCAACTTAGTTTCTAGCGTTAACATCTGAAATAACTTAATAAGGGATACTTTTCTTGTAGTATAACTTAAAGAATGTTTGAAAGAGCTATTATCAATGGCATAAACATAAAATCAAGTCCACAAGTACCATAGAACAAATATCTTTACAAAACAAGTTCCAAGTGTCTCCTGGCATACAAATGTTATATTTTTATGCATTATATGATGAAAAGATAAAAAGTGCATTGTGCAATCACATATGAACAAATCTTAGCTTGGAATAAAAAAATTTGTGGGTACAAACTAAAATGCATACATTTGAATCTGATTGTATCAGCTTCTTGGCAAGGATAGGATTGTCAATATGCACTTAATGCTGTTAGATTTCATAATGTACTCAATGAGCACCCACAAACCATACAGCATACAAAACAAGCTAACCTGGTAAAAATCTTCTTGATGCCTGTAGCTTTGTGGTGTGTGGGTGGGGACCTGTGGCCAGTGAGTGTGTTACTCCTTGGGGAGGATGATATAGATGTAATGGCCCCATCTCCTTGTTGGTAGTACTCCCCCTCAGGAAGGTCATCTATCATCTGCATTTCTGTCTCTGCTGTGGAATAAAACACATCCATCTTCTCATTTCAAAGACTATTTCATATAACAATCACATACAAAATTTAACACAAAAACTATAAAAAAAGTGCTCACTCATTGTGTCATAAATTACTTTTTAGAAGAATGGACATGTCAAAATATATATACAGTACCCTGTATTTCCTCTATAATTAATAACTGAAATGAATGGTTAAACATTTAAATCCTATTTTATGGGTAAAGGCTACATAAACATTATTATAAACAATACCATTACTGTGCAGTTGCTCACCCACTCATGCAGTGGTTGGTTCCAATGGTTAGAGAGTCATTGGGCCATGAGACACAGTTGTCCCAATAGTCCCTGTACCGCTCATAGTCCTTGTCCACAGAAAATTAATGTTCCCCAAGGCAATAGTAAATACTCACTTCTAGTTGCTTTCTTTTCAAAACCCTACAAAGAGGGAGGGCATCCAGTCCATTGATTTCAAACCTCAGTCATAAAAAGGATTTGATTTCACAATTCAGCTCTCCATTTACACCTTCACCTTGCAAATTTGTGGCCAATTTTCCGAAAGTCATGGATTAGCAGAGCAAGCATTAAAATATATGATAATTTACTAAAAAAACTTAATCTAAGGTGCAACATAAGTCTTTATTGTTACATAAGCACTAAAAACACTTATAAATATGTATACACTATGTATGAGTTAAAAATAAATTCATAAATCAAAGAGTGCTTAATATTGATGAATATTCCGTGAGCTCAGCACCACTGTACAGTATCACTCTGAAGGTAAACAAACACATGATGGGAGCTGTGGCATCATAAGAGGGCTATGGGTTATAAGCTAAACCCAATCTAATACTACTACTGAATATTGGATTTATTAAGCTGTCATAATGATTGCAATAACTTTCTTTAAATTTCAGAACAATTACACTATGCAGCCATTAATTCGACAAAAAAGGAGCTCTGGGTCACTCGAATTACCGAATAATTCAGTGCTTGAGAGAGGGTGAGTGCTGGCAACATTGTAAGGGAAAACAGGAATGATAAGCTGATACCACTGTAAACAAGATTCAGTCTCTCCTCGACTTACGACGGGGTTCCAGACCGACGACCAGGTCGTAAGTCGAATCGGTCGTAAGTTGCAAAGGCGAAAATTATACATAGAAAATCTAAAATGGGTGTCTCTTTTTCTTCTCAGCACCACGAGAACTCTCACTTTTACGCTTGCCAGCCATTTTAACGGGAATTACAAAAAAAAAATTTGTCAGTACACAGCGCGATCACTAACGTCGGGACTTGAAAATACGTAATTTGAAAAATATTTTATACGACTGCGGCGGTCGTATGTCTGGGTGGTCGCAAGTCGAGTAGGTCGTAAGTCGAGGAGTACCTGTACCAGGAATATACTACGGTGCAATAGCTCAACTGGGATTAAGTGTGGGATTTTTTTTTTAAATTCATTATTTTTTGATAATGTTTTATTAACCTGGCACCAAATAAACCTTGCTGTCTTTATTAAGGGAACGCTTCCTGACGAATGGCAGGTGAGGTCTAAACAGCACTCCCTCACCACCTATGCACCCAGACGTAGTTTTGTATCTTAATATAGTTCACATTTTAGTCCTTTACACAGTCCATACTTCACTTTAATGACTTATTAGTACCACGGAAATGGTCAATGAAGTGAAAATCATTAATGTGGTGAGTATAGTTCACATGCTAAATGGGTCAATTGGTACCAGTCCTCAGACACTTTCACCCCCTATAAACCCCACAAAAAATTACAAACACTTATTCACACACATTAATACTGAATGTAGAGTTAATAACCAATACTATAACCAATACTAACTAACCTTTACACACTCATTGAACTGCTTAATGCTGCCCTCACACTTTCACACTGCGCTGCTTCCCTAGCACCACCGCCAACTGATCCTTCAGTCTCAAAGCCAGTGAAGTCTAGTGGTAAATAATCTAATGGATCACACACAGGTAAATCTTGAACATTATCAACAGTGCCTCGACAGGTAGAGTGGTTACACAAAATGGTAACAGATAAGTGAGGAGGTTACACCACACCACCTGTTCACACGCTGTGATTAAAACAAACCACCCCGCTCGCTGACATCATCAAGATGGCCACCTAGAGTATCTATCAACTTGTGCTACTGATCATTATTGTGTTGAAATGTATCGTTAATGTATTGAGGTGTCACATTTCATTACTGCCGTTATTGTGATGAACAGTTAATGTGAAACTCGTTAAAGTGAAATATGTACAGTACAGTAATTCAGTCATCTTAATCTATTTCATAATATACTGTACTCCTATAATAATAATTGACTTTTGGAACCCTACGCTTATTTCAGATTCATTCCGAATTCAAATTGTTTATTAAAAAACAAACATACGAATTAACCCGGAGTCCAAATTATAATAATCCAAATTAACGAGGGTACAGTTTATCGCAATATTTTTTCACAGCTACAAAGATTTTTTTTCTTCTAAAATGAGCACGAATACAATAATTATGCAAAGGTCAGAAAAATGCACAGATTTGCTGAATAACGGATGTCTAAAACACGAATTTGGGGGGTCAGGGTTTATTATCTAAGGCCCTTCAGCTTGTTGATTCAAATATTGTTTACTAAGCCTGGGAGGTTAGAACCCAAGGAGAACCTTAAACATTAATCACTGAGCAGTATCTATTTATTACATTTATTGTGTCTTATAACTACCTCATGATTAGTTCTTCCTCTCATCACAGATATGTCCCATAAAAAATTAGATCTGGAAACAAAGGTCACTATCAAAGGAAGAAAGTGCAGTTATGGTGTTACACTAGAGTGCACACACACCCACCTCTCAGCTGTTATGGATCACACGTCTTGGATTCAGGTCAGTATTCACTTACTAATCACTCCTTGCTTTCAGCAGATGCATCTGCCAACAGTTACCTTGTGATACTTGGAACTCAAGTGTCACAGCCTCATTATTTAGCTATGGGGGAGGTGAGCTGTGCCTGGTCGTTCCATCACAGCTGTGGTAGCAGGCGATTAACAACTTGCTCACAGGCCATCAGGGACTCATTGCTCTGGCATGCAGGACATGCAAAACCCACACCCCCTCTCATGCAACTCAGCATGCCACCAGAGTTCCCCTTCCAGCAGGTTGCTGCAGACCTTTTCCAGCTGAACAGGCACATATACATTGCCATCGCTGACCACCTGAATGGTTGGCTTAAGACCACCCATTTACCCCACGGTGCTACCTCTGCACACCTTATCCCAAACCTGTGAAAACACTTTATGCGGTTTGGCATCCTTTAGCATCCTTTAGAACTGTCTACCGACAGCAGAATGAATTTCGCCAGTGGCAAGTGTGTAATTCGGGAGAATGCTGGCCCCAGTGGATCTCTCCGCACTGAAAGTGCTGCCACAGCCATTCTACAGTACCTCAATATACCCATGCAAGGCTTCAACAGTTCCCCTGTGCAATTGAGACTCAATCCTTATTGCCAGGCAGGCTTACCAAGTGGAGCATGTATGAAGTTGTACCCTTTGGAGGAGGGAAGCCCATGTCTCATCATGAGACAAGCACTCACACTTGCTGACGATGCCACGACTCTCGTGGCATTGGCAGCATATCTGAGTGCTCAATAAAACCACGAGACAACTAGCGGGGATGAGCAAAGGCCAGGCTTTGAACCTTCAGAATCCCAAGACTGGGGTCTGTGATTGGAGTGACATGATCATCGAGCAGACCAACAGACATCAGTATGCAATCCACATGGATGGCAGTGGATGAATATCCTGTAGCTATAGGTGCTACCTGTGGTCAGTCATGCTAGAAGTGTCCCTACCCCTAGCCTGCCCTGGCAGAACCACAAGCAAGGTCACCCAGCCCAACACATCATGGAGTGACACAGGAAACACCACGTAGGATGAGATGGGTAGTCAGAAGGCCTCGCTACCTGAAGGACTATGTTTAATTCACAAGGCTTGGACCCTTACGGTCTATACTTCTCATGTAGGTTCTTAATTTTGTGGTATATTTTGTTAAGGCAGGTTTTTTTTTTGTGTGTGTAAAGAGGACACTGTTGTCAACTTAGGGACTGGCAACTCATCGAGGGTTTGGCAACATCGGGCATTCCTGCAGCATTACGGCAGAGAGGTTCAGACCCTGGTGAAGTAAGGATGATGTTCTGCTCCAACAAATGCCAACCCATGAGAAGTGTGCTTCCTGCCCTTCCTGTAGCCCCACCAGTCAGTCAGTAAGTAAACTCCATGAATTGTATGGTTTAGGAACCAAAATTTATGGGTTAAAGAAGAAAAGTGAAAACTACTTAATTTTATGTTGATAGCAAATTAGATAAGCCCATGTGTACAAAAGTAAAAACCCAGTAGAGTCAAAGTAGCCAATATGGATAAACTATTTTAAGAGCATGGTTATTCAAACAGTAGGAGTCACCAGGATCATATTTTGCTTTGAGATGCATACAATACACCAGCCAGCTGACTCCACCCTTCATTACTTCTTCCGACTGTTCATCTTTCAACTCTTTAGCATATATGAATCTGTAATAATAAAAGAGCCTTTGTGTGTGTGTCAGTGCAGTAGATCCAAGACCACAAAACTTTGCATGCATACTAAGGGGACCCTGGGGGTGTGGCCTCATTGTTACTCTTTTAGATTTGGCTCGTTAAGTTACGATGAGATCCAGCAGTATTAGTGTTTGTTCCCTTCTATAGTGAGTCAGATCTTTAACATGTTGGAATAGGAAATTGTCCCTCAGAGTTTCTACAAAAAGAGTTGAAGGATTATCACGGTTATAGTTAAGTCCTCAAGACAAGGAGGTGGCTAGAGTTGAGCACTGTTGAATTGTCTATTAAGGCTCATAAATTCCTATGGTTTAATAAACTGCAATTCAGGGAACTAAGAATACAACCAACAATGAGTAAACCTCTCTCCTTCAGCTTAACTTTACACCATTTCGATT